TCTTCGAGCTGGGTACTCCTTTGTGGGCATATCTGCATGTGGGCGGACCCTCCTTGAGATGGATAGAGGAGCGGTGTCTGATTCCTGAGACCAGTTTTCCGATGGTCTTAGGCGACTCCTGTGAAAGGGTCGTTCGACCCCCAAAGGGATTGCAACCCACAGGTTAAGAAGCACTGGTTTAGATAAACAAATAAAATGAGCTATCCATTATAATAGTACTAACCATTGTGGTTATTTATGTTTATGTTAATTAAAATTAAGAATTCAGTTCATCAGTTTTACCACAAGTGTCAAGTACAGCTAGTGACTGCTCTACTGAACACAGCACAGAGCACATGCGTATTATTTCAGAAGGTTCTATTGAATAGCACTGGTCAAAATAATCCTGGTGTAAAGGTAGTTGTGGGTGGTGGAGAAAAGTCCAAGCTGAAAATATCACCAGAGGCTTTGGTGTATGTAGCTTGGCTTCAGAGATTTAAGATTGAGGAAAGCATATTTCATTGCATCATGAAGGGGCTTCAAAACGTTTGTGGAAAGTGAAATTAGAACTTTTTGAAGCCATTGTAAGTATTCCTTTGCTACTTAGTGTGGTCTTTGTGACTCTGTGGCTAAATAGAGTCTGAGTAATTGGGAACTGATTATTCTGGCTCTCGGTGCTTCGTGGGGGGAAAATTAAGGTATTGTCTGCCTTTGAACCAAGGGAAGAATTGGATTTTTAAAAATGTTCCTTAGGTTAATATCATTTTAAGTATTTGCTATTAAAATAGAATAACATTTTAAAGCCAAGGTCGTTTCTTGATTGTTAGTGCTTCACATGAACTTCCAAGTAGGATGAAGCTCACTTTGCTTCGTTGCACTTAGATGGCACAGCAGTCTGGAGGTGGCCGGGACACTCGCTTTCTGCGAGATGAGATCCGCGAGCTTGAAAAGCAATCGGAACAAAAAGACAGAGAGTTAGAGGACATGGAAAAGGAATTAGAGAAAGAGAAGAAAGTCAATGAACAAGTAAGGCATAGTGTTTGAACAACTTTCAAGGTTTAAGTTATCTAACGATGCCCAATTATGTAATGATAATGGTTGTACGTATGTACGCATGTATGTTTGCTGAATCTGAGGGATGATCTATACTTACTTCTGAGGTTTTATATCACGTTTTATCATTACATCTTTAAAACAGTAGAATAGGTACTTCTGGTGAATATGACTTGGAAGTCATTTGATTATATTGGGATGGACATATTTCAACAAACTTTAGGATGAACCCCCACTCCCCACCCCTGCCAAAAAAGGGGGATCAAACTCATTACCATGGAATTGATCCCAACACTTATGATGGTGTATCTAAAACTGATGTTGTCCTTTTGATTATTGATATGTTCGTCTTAAGAAATTAGTTACATTCATAAGCAAGAGGTTATTTGGGGGCAAAAAGGTATATTAATATTTTTATTTAATAGTAGATCTTTTCATAGTGTGTTCCATAATAAGTTACATTCCTTGTTTTTAGGTGTGCTTTTTATTATATGTGGATTTTTGAAAAGTTTAGTTGATGTCAAGCATTTTATAAATTGATTCATATTTAACATCATGAATTTTTTCATTTTTTATGTAAGCATCTTTTACATTCTGCATGGCTTAAAATCAGGAAAGGTGTGCATCAGTGTTGTATACTCTCACTATATCTGTGCAGTCTGTATGCTGAGCAAATCATCAGAGAAGCTAGATTCTGTGTAGAAGAATGTGGTATCAGGATTGGAAGAAGGCTTATTAACAATGGTGATATGCAGATGATACCACCTTGCTTGCTGAAAATGAGGAGGACTTGAAATACTTGCTGATGAAGATCAAGGATTTCAGTTTTCAGTATGGATTAAAACTCAATGTAAGGAAGACCCAAATTCTCACACCTGGATCAATAGGTACCATCATGATAATGGAGAAAAGGTTGAAGTTGTCAAGGATTTTGTCTTGGTTGGATCCACAATCAGTGCTCATGGAAGCAGTAGTCAAGAGATTAACGATGTGTTGCATTGGGTAAATCTGCTGTACAAGACCTCTTTATAGTATTGAAGAGCAAGGCTGTTATTTTAAAGACTAAGGTGTACTTGACGTAAGCCATGGCATTTGCAGTGGCATCATGTATATGTGAAGTTGGACATTGAATAATTAAGACCAAAGAAGTATTGATGCATTTTAATTGTAGTCCCAGAGAAGAGTATTAAAACAACTGCTTAAAGGATAAACTAATCTGCCTTGGAAGACACACAGCTAGAATTTCCTTAGAGGCAAGGACGGTGAGACTTTATTGTAAGCGCTTTGGACGTATTATCAGGAGATCATCAGTCTTTGGAGAGGGCATCATACTTGGTAAAGTGGAGGGGCAGCAAAAAAGTAAGCACCTGGACAAGTTTGAATTGAGACAGAGCTGCAACAGTGGGCTCAGACATAGGAACCTTTATGAAGACAACACCAGGCCGTGTTTCATTATCTTATCATAAGGTTGCTAAGGGGAAGAACCGACTCGATGGCACCTAACAACAGCAACAGTTCAGATGATCTCTTAGTCAATTTTATGTACCTTATAAAATAATTTGTTTGAGTCATTTAAATTCAGCTTGAGGAAAAATTGGATTTTCTGGTAAATTTCCTATTAGAACATAATATGTTTTATATTTTGGCTCAGTTGTCAGTAACCTTGATACAAAATTTGGTACCTGATTGTAGTACTTGCTCACCCCTGATGATTAGAAGTTTATTTTACCTCTCTTGTACTTTAGAAGGTTGCCGTTTTATTACATCCTGCTACTCTTAGTTTGTTCATTGTATCTCAGAAATAGAGGGTAATAAATAGTAAATAACCATATAACAGAAATTTATGATATAGAAAAGGTAATATATTGCCTTCAGTTCCACAGCTCAAACATAAGCGACACAACCAGGACTTAGCTCCAGACTGTTAGACACAGTTGTCTGTGCTCTTAAGTACTACACAGTACTGCCTTCCAATTGAGCATTCTTTGGAGAGCTGAAAAAACGCCAATTTCAGAGGATTTGGTCCTTTTCCTAAAAGAAACCAAAGAAGGATTTTGAAACTCTGATGTTGTGATCAGATCTGTACTTTAAAAGTTTGCTTTGTAAAGAATGGATTGAAGGTAGCCAAGACCGTGGCTGGGAAGATAAGGATACATTTCTACTAATTTAAGCAAATATTTGTGATGGCCTAATGAAAGTAACGAGAGATTTAAGAGACATAGACACGTTTCAGAGCTATCGATAGAATTGGATGTAGAGATTTACTGATAATAAGAAGAGCGTGGGGAATTGAGTGCACCAACTTCCTGAGTTGGGTCACTGGAGAAGTAGATAGTGCCCTTCGTTAAGAGTGAGCCCCGGATGAGTTTGGAAATGTTTGAGATTTTTATTTCAGTTATGATTATGCTGATTCAGAGGCCCCAGTGAGGATACCAAAGCATGTTGAGGATTAGGAATTTACACGCTCTATCCTGTCTCATAGGTGTCTGTGACTTGGAATTGACTAGATGGCAGTGAGTTTGGTTTAGTTTATGTGTGTGTGGTTTTTTAACATAAAACGAGGAAACTGAATTAAAGGCAGCAAATGAGTGTTCACATTGTACTAGGACTTGGTACAAAAGGGATATCAATCTAGGGCAGTCTGATTTTGCCTCATTTATTTTTGAGTTCTAGGATACTGCTTTGCATTTATAAATACTGATTAATTAGATAAAGTAATATAAGCTTGACATAGAAGAATAGTGAAGTAGGATATCGGACAGAAAGCTGCTGTTTTCAGATTTAAATATTTTAATTGTTTTGTTTCTATAGCCTTAAAATTAAAAAAACTAATTTTAAGCCCATTTTATTTGATCATTTCTAATTCTTAAGTAGTTGTCAAAAATTTTTGGCTCATTAATCATGTTTTAAATAGATACAAAGATGCTTAGCTGAGCATTCTGTGTTTATTAGAATTTAAAAGTCAAATTGATAACCTAAAATCCTGGCTTTCTGTTGAACTGGTGTTAACTTTTATTTATTTATTTTATTTCTAGTTGGCTCTTCGGAATGAGGAGGCAGAAAATGAAAACAGCAAATTAAGAAGAGAGGTTGGTAAAACAATTTTTAGTTGTTGTGGTGTAATTAAAATACCATATCTACATAATTTAAAATATATTTTTAAATTTATATTGTTAAACTAGAACTGAATCGTATGATTTTTTTATGGGCTGATTTTATGATATGACTTTATCTCAGGAATATGGAAAACATATTAAGAATTGAGACTAGTAATTACAACATTAATCTTTTAGATTATATAGGTAACTCTTGCTTTCTGTTTTATGTGCAAATTATTCTTTTCTAGTTAGTTTTTAGTTGAATATGTGATTGAATTTCTTTCCTATTTCTCTTACTCTTTCCAGCATTTTAAAAATTTTTCTATTTATTATCCAATCTTATGAACTTAGATTATTTGGCTTTTCAGAGCCAAATAATATTTGCTCATTGTTTATCCTAATCTTTCATTTTACATAATCAAAATGTTCTTTGATTTGCCTTTTAGTTATTCTTATTTTCTTTGATTACATAAAGTAATATATCTTAGTCTTTTAAAATTTCTCTTTTTTGCTTTCTTTAGTCTTATATTATTTAATTCTGTGTTGCCTTTCTCATTTCTAATTACCATTTTCCTGTCACTTTCTGGAGAACAAACGTCTAAAGCAAAAGGTAAGGCTTTATGGGCGATAAAATGTTGAGAATTTGAAGATAACTTTGAAACCCACTGTTTAGAGGAGATTATCTTGCTACTTTGATATTTCTTAATAAAAAGTGACGTTTGGTTTACCTACAGAATGAGCAACTTCGTCAGGATATTGTTGACTATCAGAAACAAATAGATTCACAGAAAGAAACACTTTTATCAAGAAGAGGAGAAGACAGTGACTATAGGTCACAGTTATCTAAAAAAAATTTTGAACTTGTGCAATATCTGGATGAAATTCAGGTAAAATTGATAAAAGTTCAAAGTAATGGTTGTAGTTATAATATAAATCTGTATTTTAACCCAAATTGATTTCTTCAGTAGTCTTCTATAGCTATATATTTATAAAATATGAAATAAATGACATCTTTGACTTTTCAATTCTTTGGTCATTATTTTTATATGTGCTTGCTGTCACTGTTTGAAAATAATTGAGATTCTTGCATGAAATGTTGTTAGATTTATTCAGTCAATACTAATTGACACCAAAGGTAGATAAAGAATTCTCCTAACTATAATTGGCACCATGACTCTATTTAATTTAAGTATTATACTCTTAAAATACTTTTCAAACAGAATCTTTAACTTTCTTAGACTTTAACAGAAGCTAATGAGAAAATTGAACTTCAGAATCAAGAAATGAGGAAAAATCTAGAAGAGTCTGTACAGGAAATGGAAAAGATGACCGATGAATATAATAGAATGAAAGCTGTCGTACACCAAACAGATACTATTATCGATCAGTTAAAAAAAGACAATGAACATTATCGGCTTCAAGTAAGAATTACTGTTGAAATAGTTTATTTACAGAGATTTTATTTATTTGCCCAGATTTTATACAGTCTCATGACTGTGTATTTGAAGCTAGAATAACTTTTTAGATTATTAATTTTTGTGTCTTTAGACATGTTGCCATGCTGTTAGATTTGTCCAAATGTGCTTTTGTAATTCCCTCACAAAGCCTGTAATTCCTCTCAACTAGGCTACATCGATGCTACTTGAATTAATACAGTATGGAGACAGCAATCCTGTAAATCTAGTAATTATAGCAACTTTTTATTAGACAGACTTGGAAGCCGTGTGGGCCATTATGTTTATACCTTAAAATGAATTCACCATAAAAGTAATGGAATCCAATAAACGACTCATTATTTACATAGATTTAAACTTTAAAAATAGAGTATTGTTTTACAATATAATTCTCTAATAGTGAAAAATCCTTCTGCAATTCTAATTATGTAGAAACCATTATTTATTATCTCTTACTGCAGACATAAACAATCTATTGCCCTTGAATTGATTCCTGCTTACCCGAACCCGGTGGGACAGGGTGGAATTTCCTTGAAAGGTTTCCAAGATGTAATCTTTATGGAAGCAAATGGCCACATAGTCCTCTCATGGAATGACGTGGGTTTGACATGCAGATATTTTAATTGGCAGCAAAGCCAATGAAAATTAATTGCTTTACCACCAGGGTCTCTCATTACAGGACTACTCGAGTAATAAATATGAGTATGTAATTTATATGTGTCATAGGAGAAAGATGAGTCTAGCTGCTCTTTTAGCAATTCATAGTCTTGTCAACCCTGAGGGTCAGGTCTGCTCTGTTGTACGTGGTCTCTGTGACTCAGAATTCAATCTATGGCGGGGCATTATGGGCTAATGTGTATGTGAAAATATATTCATAATCAGTTTATTGTATTAATTTGCAGCAATTCTTGAACTAAATATTACCTTTTAGGTGCAGGAGCTCACAGAACATTTGAAAGCCAAAAATGAAGAAGATGATCCAGTCATGGTAGCTGTCAATGCCAAAGTAGAAGAATGGAAGGTGCTTTTATTAATCTATATTATGGCTTCATCATTTTGTCGTTAGATTTAAGTTTTTTAGTCTTAGTTTTCTTTAAAGAGCTTATGTTAGTTTTTGACATTCTTTTATTAGAATTTTAAAATTTTAGTTTAGATTTAGCTAGGAAAATACCATATTTAATCCTTTAACATATTTACACTTGGAAGAATTTAAAGTTTTGATGTCTAGAATGAAAATACCATTTTCATCTGAAATAGAGAATTCTACATAAAATGCATGTATGTACTTTACATGATTCACAGTTGTATAGATTAGTTATATTGGTTCGAGGCGTAATTTAGGTTTTTCTGACTCGACTTGCCATGTCAAATTCATGAAACTGTCGGTATTCGTTGGGAATGAGAGTAAGAGAGGAGGTTTATCAGAGTCATTTGGAAAGCCTTTTCAGAATGCACTCATCGCTGTCCTTTCCGCTGTAGCAGAAGCTGGGATTATGAGGGCGATGTGCTTTGGAAAATGATTTTGAAAAAATCTTCTCAGATAATGGTGAATGTACTACTGACTTTTTAAAAACTAAGACTGTCACAGTCATCATTTCCACTTGAATTCCTAACAGTTTTGTTGGGTACTTGAAATTGGTTATCAAATGGGAAGCATATATAGATAACTGGTAACTTAAAACAAAAATAATAGCAAAAGAAAAAAGCTTATAGAATGAATAAAGGCCTGACAAATGTTTTTGTAAAAACTCAGTAAGTATTTTAGACTTATGGGCTATCTGGTCCAGGTGACCTGTTTCAACTCTTCTTTAAAAGCAGCTCGAGACAACAGGCTGGTTTCCAGTAATATTTTGTAAAATTAGTTCACACATTGGATTGACCTTCTGACCTTAGTTTGCTCACCCTTGGTATAAAGAGCTGTACTTACTATGATTTTTTTTTTTGGAGGGGAATGATACCAATTTAAATTGTTCTTCTGCACTTTCTTTAAAAAGGATTATATATCTTGTAAAATTATTTTACCATATATACTCGAGTATAAGCCAACCCGGATATCAGCCATGACACCTAATTTTACTATAAAAACTACATAAAAATGTGTTGAAAAGCTCCGCTTATACATGAGTATATAGGTATATTAATGTATAGAGTATTATGTTGTTCTTTTTAAGTGTTTGTGTAATTTTTCTTAGTTGATATGTAAGATAAATAGTTATACATATAATTATAAGATATACTACAAATATATTCCTTCCATGATTCATTTGACTGCTATTCTTTTGTGTGTGGGCTATATCTTTTTATAATGTGTGATTAAACTTATTCTTTATTAATGGTTTTTGGCCCTTATGCCATAACTAGAAAAGCTTCAGAATTTAAGTCACTTTCTTATATTTTCTTATAGTATGATCTGGTTTCATCCTTACCATTTAAATTTCTATAATGTATATAATTCATTTGGTGTAGGGTGTGAAAAGAGATACAGTAGGATAGGATACTACCCAATTATAAATTACTACCCAATTACTACCCAATTATAAAATACCCTTAGTGAATATGTCATCTTTTAATTTTTATTTCATATGTACATAATTTGTATTGAGTTGATATTATATCTGGACTATCTTCTATATTTTTGACATGCAAACTTAGATTAATTATTATATGTTTAAATATCTTTAAATGCTATTCTCAGGTTTTAGGCTTTTCTTTGAGTCTTTTATGTGGATTTTAGAAACACCTAGCCAAATTCTTTAAAAGCAGCCTACATTTTAAAATCTACTTATTCTTTGATTGAATGTGTACTACATTTACAGATTAACTTAAGTCAAATTGATATCTTTGTAAGATTTAGTACTTCTGTCTAATAAACTAATATGCCTTTCTATTTATTCAAAATATATATTTTCCCTCCCAGTGGCATTTTAATGTTTTCTTCATAAACATAAATTGTATAAAACCTTTTGTAATTGTATAGAAGTAGTCATAACTTCTTGTTTGTAACTAGTTTTGAAAGCAAGAGATTATTTAATGATTGAATTCTTAAAAAGCAAAAATTTTTGTCATCTATTTTTTAAATGTTTTTTACTCAACTTTAGATGGTAAGTATCGAAGGAACAAATTTGAAAGATTAAAGTTTCTGTCACTTTCTTATTTCAAAGGATTCTATTTTTTGTATTTCATTGCAATCTGCTTCAGAAAGTTTGTGGAAAAGTTCCATTTTTTGGTGAGCTTTTGGAAGCCTTCTTGAATTAGAGTATTCACCATAAATGAGGAATACATGTTCATTGCATTTCATTTTGTGTAACACATTGTTTTGTTTATTTCTAGTTAATTTTATCTTCTAAAGATGACGAAATTATTGAATATCAGCAAATGTTACATAATTTGAGGGAAAAACTTAAAAATGCCCAACTTGATGCTGACAAAAGTAATGTTATGGCTCTACAACAGGTAAAAAACAATGCCCAAATTTGATTCATCTGTCAGTTTTATCAGAGTTGACCATGAACTCCGAACTACGTTTTATTAATTCACCTGGACCCAATTAAGTGACTTGCATTATCCCCACTGCCATCAAGTAGATCCAACTCATAGTCACCTATAGGCCAAAGTGGAACTACGCCACAGGGCTTCCAAGGCCATAATCTTTACAAGAGCAGAACGCAGAACAGCCAGCAACTTTGAACCGCTGACCCTTTGATTAGTGGTTGAGAACTTTCACCAAGCACTAGTATAATAGTTTGGGGGTTGTTTTTTTTGTTTTATTACAGAATGATGTTTTGAAAATTTTTGCACTATTCAATCCCAAGAAAATTTTAGAGTTAATTTTAGAGTAAGTAGCTGTGGTAGTGCAAGCAGTTAATGGTTGGACTGCTAACTGCAGTCTGTGATTGGAACCCAACAGTTGTGCTGTGGGCGAAAGGTGAGACTGCGCATATAAGGATTTATAGCCTCAGAAACGACATACAGGGCTCTGGGAGTCAGAACCAACTAGCAGCAGAGTGTGAAGAAGGAATCAAATTATTTCGTCGTTTCTTATTTTGTTACAGACAAGACACACATTTTTTTAGGGGCAGTCAATTAAATATTTTCATACTCTTACTAAGGATTACTATACCCTGACTGTCCTGATCAATGTTGACATACCCTGTAAATGTGAAATATCATGGCAATTTGGTTATAATTTATACCAAGTTATACTTTTATTTTGAGAGTGCAATCACACTTTCCTCATCTGTACTCTCAAGTTATAGTACAAGAAAATAAAAGGAAATTTAGGAAGTATTTGAGGAATAATACTGCAGGGAATGGTATTTTTAAATAAAGTACCGGGAGGGGAAAGATTAAATTTAGTAAAAAGACAAGGAGGCACACCAAGACACAAAAGAGTACAAGGATGGGATTGAATGGGTGATAAGGAATAATATTTACAGAATCAAAAGAAGCCAAAGATAATAGGATTCTAGAATTCCTGTTTTTTAGAGTACTGTATTACCTATTATACTCATCTTTAAATATTAGAATACCTGTCATGTAGCTCATATTATCTAGGGTAGTTAAGGGATACAAAACAGTAGAAAGTGTATTTATGTCTCTCAAAAAATATATTCTGCTACCTATTGAAAAAGAAGACAACCTTTTTCTTTGCATTTTAAAACTCATGAATATCCATGAAGGACTAATATGTGTGATATTTCAAAATCTCTTGCAGGGCATACAGGAGCGAGATAGTCAAATTAAGTTGCTTACTGAACAAGTAGAACAATATACAACAGAAATGGAAAGAAATACTTATGTTATTGAAGATTTAAAAACTGAACTCCAAAGAAACAAAGGTAATTCAACATTTTATTAAGTATATATAATTATTTTCCATGCTATGTATTAAAGAAGTATCTGAAAATGTATTTAAAAAATAAAAGCTTGTCAAAAGATATAAAATTGAGCTTTCTTAATTTTATTTTATATTCAAAATACAGATACAGGATTTTTTATTTACTTTATATGTTCTGTTGTTGTGGTGTATCATCTAGTTAATTTCAACACGTCATGTGTTGACACAGCTCGTTGAGACAGGAAACTGCCCTGTAGGGTTTTCTGGTTGTAGTCTTTACTATAGGAGCCCTGGAGGCGTGACAGCTAAGTGCTAGGCTGGAACCAAAAAGTCAGGGGTTGTACCCACCCAGTGCCACTGCAGGCCTGATGAACTGCTCGCAGTCAGTTTGGAGCCTTGGAAACCCTGTGAAGCGATTCTAATCTGTGACCTGGGGATCACTGAATTGAAAATTTTTGATGTCACTTTACAAAAGCAACAATCAATCTTTACAGAAGCAGATTACTGGGTCTTTCTCCCATGGAGCACCCAGGTGAATTCAAATGTGCCTCCTTTAGTTTATTAGCCAAGTGCTTAGCCTTTCTGCTGCCATGGCTCCTGTAAGTATTACTAATGTTTACATTTATTAATGAAGGCCATATTTTCTATCATTTTCTTCTCTTGAAAATTACACAGCCCTGTATTATCTGATTGGTTGTATGAGATAAATTTAAAATGATGACATGGTTGCTGGTATTTTTTTCCTTATTATTAGAAAAGAATGCAACAAAATAAAATGTTGAACAATGTAGCAGCAATGCAGATAATTAATAAACTCGTGAATATGTGTCTTATAATTCCTGAGGATAAAAAATGAGATGTAAAAGAGAAAAAGCAAGTGAGTGTATGTAATGAGTGTGGGAGTATAGTGGTAGTGGTGCTGCTAGAGAGCGAGGTGACACTTTAGATACTGAGGCAAAATCACTGCAATATTTGAATAAAACTTACAAAAGGTGAGAGTGAGTTATCATATCTGCTGTGTTATAAGTTATCATATCTGAAGACCAGTGTCTCTAAGTAGGAAAAGAAGGAAAACACCTTCTTTTTGGCAGAAATACCAAAACGTTCCATAGATTTATAACATATATTTTAAAGAATCAGACTTACTGCCCTCAAGTCAGTCTGACCCAGTTGATGTTTATTGTGGATAAGCCTGTGAATGATGTGTGTCAATATGTTTTATAGTGAGAAACATTATATTGTGATCTGTTAATCATTTGGTAAGAAAATACAGGCATTGTTTTTAGCTATTGTCAGGATTTAAGTTTAAATACAAGTGAGAGAATTATCACACACAATAGCAGTTTAAACAATTTAGAAATTTACTGTTGAGGAACAAATATTGATGTTATACTTTTATTAATATAAGCAAAGCTGATGCATTTAGTTCAGGGTTAGTACAGCAGCTACACAAATCAGGTTTGTAGCAACCTTTGCCCATCTCAGCATGCGGTTTCCATCTCGTGCAAGAGCACAGTTTGAGCTTTAACTTGCACGTCCGTATTTGCACTAACAAAAGAGGCAAGGGAAAAGAATGACAGAAACGTTAAAAACAATCTCGGAAAGTTCATTCATGACATTTCCATTTAGATCCCATTGGCCAAACTCATTTGGCCACACCTAAGCTGCTGGAGTGGAATTGGACATTCGATCTTTATTTTAAGTGCCCATATGTTTACCTAAAAATTGTTTTTTCCATTACAGTGGACAAAAGAGAAGTTGTATAGTGCAGACCGCTAGCAGTCTCTGCCCCACAGGTTATTCTTCATAAAACAGTGTTTTACAACTAAAACCCTTCAGCTAAGAAGAATTTCTTAAACTCTATAAACAGTCTTCTATCACTTGTTTGTCATGGTGTGGTGGCTTGCGTGTTCCGGATCGCTGTGCCATTGATATTTCCAATACCAGCAGGGTCTCCCCTGATGAACAGGTCTCATCAGAGCATCTAGACTAAGAACAGGCAATGAAGAAGGAATAATAGGCTGTCCACTTCTGAGGGATGAGCCACTGAAAACATGAAAGGCAGCAGAGCATTGTCAGATACAGTGCCCCTCAGTTTGTAAGACACCCCAAATGTGACTAGGGAAGAGCCACCTCCTAACGTGGAGTTGACATTAATAACATGGTGGAATAAAACTTGTGGGACCTTTCTTTGCTGATGGAGCCCAACTCAAAATGAGAGGAAACATCTGTAAGCATCCATTAATAATCGAAATGTGGAATAACGAAATAGGAATCTCAGAAAATTGAAAGGTGTCGAAAATGAAATAGATGTGTTATCAGGAGCCACCAGTCCCTGGGAAAGGACATCTTATTAAAGTAGAGGGTCGAGAAAAGATATGCTGCTTATGACAGCAGCGGGTCCGTGCGAAAGCGAAAGTGCCTTGGCGATGTCAGTGGCCTGGTCGCAGTGGGCCCAAGCGTCACAAGTGAGGATGACGCAGGGCTGGGCACTGTTCTGACCCTCGTGTCCTATGCGACAGAATGGCTCAACAACACCTAACAACAATCACCTGTCTTAGTGGAACTAACATAAAACTCGTATTTTTCAAATACAGAAATCATCATATGAAAGGGACGTTTTAAGGCTGTAACATTTCAAAGTTAGAACCACTGACTTACAGTGCTGTGATGAGGCAGCATAATTTATTCACGGTTTTGGACTGTACACCTTGTAGGTGCTTCAACACTTTCTCGAGAGTCTCATTATATGAAAATTCAATCAAAACTAAAAAGTTTAGAAGTGAAAACTCAAGAGGCTGAGAGAACTGCTGAGTTGGCCGAGGCTGATGCTAGGGAAAAGGATAAAGAACTTGTTGAGTCTCTGAAGCGATTAAAAGATTATGAATCGGTATGTATTTTTATCTTTTCAGTCAAGCACTTTAGAATCATTCTTGTCACTCACAAGTAGAATACTCTGCCATTTACTGCGTACTGTACTAGAACATTCCTTAAGTGTCTTTTGGTGAAGGGATACTTTATACTACTCAAATTCGTGAGCAGTATTTACTTTTTGACAGGACATTTCATACCAGTTTGAGCCAAGCATTTCCTCCTTAGATAATCAGCTTTGTGGAAGTTGCAGGATTAGATACTTTGAAATCTGTGCCAGTCAGCCACCATGTAGGTGTGACACTACTGACTCATTTGATAAGAATGATGACAGGGATAATTTTATAATCTACTGTGTCAACACAGCATTACTTTGTATTTAAAAAATATTTTCTTAGTTTGATTATAACTAAGTCAGTTAATTAATGACTTGCACGTTCTGTTGATAGAATATACCTGTTCTATATTTTGTTAAGTATTCTATATGTAATATTTCTGAATCTCTTTGTCATTAAGACTCTGCTCTAGGAAGTTTTACTTCTTTCCATCATTATTTCTGGGTTTCTTTTACAAAAGCAGAGTAAAATTACTCTTTAGTGATATGAAGCTTAGATATACGTGCATTGCATTGCATACTTAATAAGAGAATAAATTCCTGAGTTTTATCAATGTGTTTAAATAAATCATAGTATATTTAAATTAGATTGGGCATTTTTCAGGGGATATATGGTTTAGAAGATGCTGTTATTGAAATAAAGAATGGTAAAAATCAAATTAAAATAAGAGATCAAGAAATTGAAGTATTGATAAAGGAAATCAATAAGCTGGAGTTGAAGATCAATGATTTCCTTGATGAAAACGAGGCACTTAGAGAACGTTTAGGTAAGCCATCTTTGAGATATGTAACTTGCTGGATCTGATTTGCAAATATTTTTGCTTGTTTTCTTAAAAACAAAAATACCTGAGTACATTTTTTCACATGCATGCCTACGTAAAACCATTTAAAACAAGTCAAAGTGGAGCTGCTCTGATTAAAGTGTTTTGGGGTTTGGTGTTTGGGGCATTATGTTTGGCCCCAAGCAGTGGTTTTATACAATTCTCGATCTACTGCAGTCATCGATGACACCTCTTAGACTCCTCAAAGCTCCCTTATCAACCCACTGTCTCAAAAATAGTATTAAATGATTACTTAAAAATGTAAAGCGTACAATTTTGGTAGCATATTAGAAGTTACCCTTTTTTCTTTCAATGAATGTGACCTTTCTATGACTCGTGTTGGTTTGTGATATATTCTTATTTCAGATGAATTTAGGTAAACATTTAGAAACATTGATTAAGGGTTCCTCAGACTTTCAAGTGCTTGGATTTTACAATTTAAACTGCTTAAGTTTTATTCTGGCTGAATATTTTGAGTTTATCATTGATTCTAAGAAGTCTTTTAGGTATGTATGGATGCTCTGTTAATACAGTTCAATCTAGATTACTTTATAAAAGGATCTAAATATTGATTTCATTATACTTGCTAATATCAGGTAATGCTTTCTTAGAATAAAAATGACTATCTGTAACAATAACTATTCTCTAGAGCACTGTTTCCCAAAGTGGGCAATTCCACCCCTGAGTGACTCTGGTAGCATCCAGAGCAATAGCAAAAGCAAATATCTATACTTTATCCTGGATTATAGATTATCATACAAGAGTTTTTAATAGACAGGGGCTAGTGAATAGTTTTTTTGTTTTTCTGAAAAGTGGAGAATGATGGGGTAAATAAATTCGGGAAAACCTGCGCTTCAGAAACAAGGCGCCCTGGTGGTACTGTCAGGTAAGCATGGCATTGATAACCTCAAAGTCCATGATTCAAACCCACCAGCTGCTCTGTTGGAGAAAGGTGAGGCTGTCTGTTTTCAGAGAGCTTTATTGTGTTGGAAACCTTATACAGCAGGATTCCTGGGGACACAGGCTGGTAAGCATTGGATTATTAAACACATTACCAGTTCAAACACAGCAGGTGCTTCTCTAGAGAAAGATGAGTGTGTTTGTTCCTGTAAAGACTTACAGCCTCAAAAATTCTATATGAGCCAGAATCATCTTGTTGGCAGTGGGTTTGCCTTTCACATTTTTGGAGGAAAGCAAAATATATATGTGATTTCTTATAAAAAGCATCGATGTAGTGCGTCAGGACCTCAAGTAAGGCTTAATATAGTAACTTATGAGCTATTTAGATAACTATAACAAATACTAGATGTCCTGTGTTTGACAGTCTGTAAGTCATTATTTATAATCGTTTTAGACCAGTGGTTCTCAACCTTCTTAATGCCGCGATGCTTTAATACAGTTCATGTTGTAGTGACCCCCCCCAACCATAAAATTATTTTTGTTGCTACTTCATAACTCTAATTTTTCTACTGTTATGAATTGGGTGACCCCTCTGAAAGGGTCATTCGACCCCCAGGTTGAGAACCACTGCTTTAGACAATATCAATATCTAGTATTCAGAACATAGATACTTAATAACAGCAAGTTACTAGGAGTATCTGACAAGTAGCAATAATACACTTGATAATTAATATCCATAATAAGTAGTGAATGCCACCAATTTAACTAAATACTTGATTTAGGTTAATTTTATTATACTCCTATAGTAAGCTGTAGAAAAAAATTAATACTCTTATCTGTATTATTTAGTTAATAATTGATGTACAATTTAAACCTAGGGTTGTTTTACTTGATAGTTTCCATTATTAATACATTAAAGTAGTTACAGTACAGCCTGAGAAGACCTACCTGGTGGTGTAATGGTTAAGCCTTGGGCTTCTAACAACAAGGTCGGCAGTTTGAAACCACTAGGTGCTCTGTGGGAGAAAGACTGGGCTTTCTACTCTCGTAAAGAGTGACACTCTTGGAAACTCACAGGGACAGGCTTATCCTGCCCGATAGGCTTGCTGCAAGCTAGCATTAACTCAATGTCAGTGCATACAACATGATGCAGAGAAGGTAGATCTTGATACATTTTGTCAAGAATTACTTTAATAATTATAACATTTAAACTCATTGGTTCAATTCAAATAACTGGAAAAAAACTGTACCAAAAGTACTTCATTCTTCAAGGATGCTGACTCATTTTTTTTCATAGCATTTAGTTTTTTTAAATTATGATTACATTAATGTTGGTAAAGATTTTCACTATATTACTTTAAATTTTAGGCCTTGAACCGAAGACAATGATTGATTTAACTGAATTTAGAAATAGCAAAAGCTTAAAACAGCAACAGTACAGAGCTGAAAACCAGATTCTGTTAAAAGAGGCAAGTACTGTGATAAAAAGGCTATTTCTGTTCTTAAACCAGGGAAGAATGCTAATATGTCCATGCTTTGCAGATTGAAAGTCTAGAGGAAGAAAGGCTTGACCTGAAAAAAAAAATCCGTCTAATGGCTCAAGAAAGAGGAAAAAGAGCTGCAACTTTAGGTATACTCGTTTATCCCAGACTTTGGAAGCGTCATTCAAAGATGAGTTGTTTAGTCTAAAAGTCCTGGATGGTAGAAATGTTTTTGCTATGCTACTGCGCTTCTGCTAGGAGGTCAATGATTGAAATGATGGCCTGATGAGGATCTTTGAGTCCAATTCTGAGTCCAAAAGAGTAAAAAACGTATGTTATACTTGTAAACTTCTGAAAAATTCACCTTATATTTTTCATAAATATCTAGGCAACCCTGACTGATGTATTTTGATTAGTAATGATGAAATTTAGTAATATATATAGAAATTTATACTATATTTTTAAATATTTTAAATTTCCCTAAGACTGTCCATCAAGAATTTTTTTTAGAAATTAGTGTTTACTAAGTGAAAGTAATGTCTTATTGAATAAAAACTAGTATATTTTTTGTTTATCTTACTTGGTGTAAATATAGAAATTGGTTAGCTTTTTATAATATGTATTATACTTTCTGTAAGTGAAATATGCAGAAATTTTAAAACATACTCTTTGTTTTAGCATTAAATCTATGCAGTATATTTAAATACTTGTAGAGAGGTGAGTCTTTACAATGTATTAGTATATTCCTCAGCTTACTCATATTTATAATTCTTGTGCACTTTCTTGTACATGCCATTTGACTATTCAAATTAGTTTCTAATATTATGAATAACTTATTAAAGATGAAATAGATTAAAAGGTTGTAATAATTGGCTACCATGTGGATCAAGGCTTTTAAAACAGTCTACATTTGTTCTTTTGTTAGCTTGGTTTAAGTTTTAAAGAATTATAAACTATTAAAGTTGTAGAAGAGTTATATTTATGTTCTTTTTGTTTTTAATTGGTTGATTTTCTTAAATAGGATTACCAGTTGAGGACCTGAACGTAGATGTAAACCTTTTTCTAGAGAAGGGAATGGGAGAAAGAAAATTAGACTTTATGAGCCTCAAAAATATTCATGAAGCTCAGTCCAAGGTAAACAGTAAATTATTGCTATGATAAATAGAATAAATAAATAAACTACTATCAATACTTTTATTTTCTCCCCATCTCATTTTTAATATTGCTTTCATAGATAGTTATTATATAAATATATATTTAAATGTTTGCTTTATTTAAATAACCTGCTAATCCAAAGATTAATGACACATTATTTACTCTGAATGCAGATTAGGAGTTCAGATAAAGTAGAACTGCTGCATAGAAGACCATCATTCAGTCAGACCATCCTACAGTCAGATCAGAATGAACCAGAAGAGGGTGTGACCATAAGAGTATTATCAAGCAAGTTACCTCAAAGTCGTCAAAGTGTAGAAAGCAGTGTGGATCCTTTTGCCTCTTTAACGAGATGTTCTTCATCTATGCAAATAAAACATGCTGATTTGACTCCAGAAACAATTACAATAAGGGATATTTTTAAAGCCCCATGTCTTCAATCTTTAAGGAATCTGGAATCATCTGTCAGTTCCCTAAGTCAGGAGAGCCATGGAGAAATAAATGACTACGCATGCTCTCTTTCTGATGACAATCGGAAGAAAGTGTCAAAATGTCAGCAAACATTAGGGAGAACTAATTTCCTACAAAAAAGTGATTCTTCTTGTCAAGCGTTATCAACAGCTTCACACTTAATGCAGAGGTTACCACGTAGGCAACAGTCTGCAGTATTTTGTCAACAAATTCATGGTAATGGCATTGATATGGATAAAACACAAATAGCATCAGAAGATGAACAGGTTTATACCCAAATAAAATATGCTGATGTCAATTCACAAGAAGATTTAAGAAAAAAAGAAATATCCTTAAAGACAGAGAGTTTAAAAAGTCAGCCTGAAGTTAATCTTTCAGACACTGTGCCTGTTACTGCACAATCAGAATCCCATCAGATAGATCCACTTGACAATCTTACAGAACAGCTACGGAGAAAACTAGTATGTCTTAGGTCTCAGGTGAGCTTTATTCTAGATTACATTCCTATGATTGCTTTTTTATTCTTTTTGTGATTTATCTAACAAAGTTCTTTAAAACAGATTTTTTTGTCATACAATACATGAATACTGCTTTATTCAAATTCTATCTTTAAAAATCTCAATGTAACACATTTGATATGAAGATATTAACTTGTCTGATTTATTAAATGTTTCTGTAGAATGAAGCCATAGCACAGGATTTATTGATCAAAGAAGCACAGGATAGAAGTGCAGAAGTAGAACTTGAACAATATAGAAGCCAGGCAGAACAGGTAGTGTAAAGGCAGACTACTAAAAACAGTTGATTGTGGTACTCAAACAAAGGAAACCGCTCCGTGATAGCTGTTTGCATGTGCATCGGGTGGACAGGGATGTAAGAGGGTGCTCGCCTTTTGCTCTCCTCTTCCTACTTGATTTTTGTGCCTGCCGCTATTTCTCTCACTTGTTACTGTTATAGCTCAATTGATCCACCTTTCTTAAATTTGAAAATTATGTACTATAATATTTTGGTAAAAGATAACCGATTTTATTCTTATTTTTTGTTTAGAATGAATTTCTTTCAAGAGAATTAATTGAAAAGGAAAGAGATTTAGAAAGAAGTAGAGCTCTAATAACCAAATTTCAGAATAAATGTAAGTTGCTATTATTTTTCTTCATATGCTGATATATACGTGTGCATGTATATATAAAAAGTATATAACATGTATGTGTATAAATGTGTATATATTTTGAATCATGGGTCTGAAAGAATTTTAATGCATTCTCTGTTTTCTAGAATGTTTTATCCTTATTTCCCAGTATTATATACCATACAGTCTTTCTGATTTGTTTGATCTGTTTGCTGAACTATTTTCATTGTTGGAATTTTTTAATATGAATTCTTTTAGGATGAATAATAGCTATTTTTAATGAAAATCAAGCTAGAAAATACAGTGTAAAATATTTTTATATAAAGCATAATTTAAGGCAAAAGTATACATATGAAAGTTTTTTCAGTGCGAGATAGTGTGCATATTCATATGACATAAAAAGGTGTTCCATTTAATGCACCTATTGACAAAATATTTTTATATTTTAATTTTTAAAACATTTTGACATTTGCATTTTCCAAATGGATTTCTATATCTGAAATATTCTTTATCTGTATAAAGTCAAATGAATGATAAATTTTATTCATTAAATGAGAAAAATATGTTAATTAATTATAGTAAGAGAATTAGCTGAAGAAAACAAACAACTTGAAGAAGGTATGAAGGAAATATTACAAGCTATTAAAGAAATGCAGAAAGATCCTGATGTTAAAGGAGAAGAAACATCTCTCATTATCCCTAGTCTTGAAAGACTAGTTAATGTAAGTTTACTTTTTGCATGTGAGTGATTATATTTTGTACTTTAGATATTTTAAAGACATTGTTCCACGGTCTCCTAGTCTGCCTCCTTTGTAGTCTTGTGAAGGGTTTAACATATTTCTGCATGTGTCTGTGGTCAAATATGTTGTTAGGTGCCATCAAGTCATCTCTGACATATAGTGACAGCGATTTTCTGTGTTACAGAATAAAATGTTGCCTACATCTTTATGCCGTTGTATATTTGTGTCCATTATTGCAGCTGTTATGTCAATCCATATAGTTGAGGATATCCTTCATATTCATCTTTCTTATGCTTATTCAAACATAGTAGCCTTTTTAGACATTGGTCTTTCCTGATGATGTGATCAAAGTAAGTGAGACAAAGTCTTGACATCCTCATTTTTAAGGACCATTCTACTGGCTTTTTGCTGTTTGATTTTTGGAAGTTTTCCTTTTAGTGTTGATTTCTGGAATCGTTGTTGGAGAAAATATTTTGGATGATTTCAGCCATCTTAGCTTTATTGAGACTTGTTTTGTGACTAGCCTATGGTTGATGCAGGAGAGTTATTCAAGTGCGCTAGAAAAGAAGGGGTATTCTGCAGTTGTGTGAAGTGTTCTATATAAGTCTATTAGGTATAGCTGGTTAATAATTGCCACTGGTTTTTTTCTGGCTCATGGAAGCTATAGAAGCTCTATAAGCAACATGGTGCCATTTCTTAGCAAGACAACAAACTAGCCTACCTTGATCTTTATCCTTTTATCTCCTGTTTTATTTCATCTTCTTGGCATCCCCTTTGAATTAGTATATTAACTTCGTGTGTTCTCCTCTGATCTCCTAAGGGCAAAAACTAAGCCCATATCATCTCCTTGAGTTGGAAATTACAGTTGATTTTATTGATCTTATTTTATTCTCTTGACTTTCTGTTCAACTTCTGAAGATTTACTTGGCATGTCACAGATTTATTCTATATAGTATTTCTGAAGTTCAAATTAATTTATGTAAATGTATTATGTATATGGTAGGAGAAAAATGTGGCTTTTTACTCTTGTAAAGAGTTCCAGACTCAAAAACCCACAGGGGCAGTTCTACTCTACCCTATAGGCTTGCCGTAAGTAGAAAGCCACTCAATGGCAGTGAGCAGTAGTATGTGTCATGGGCATATGTATGTTTATGCATGGCATTGGTGGACAGTATTTTAATGGTTGCCATATTATTATTATACTCTTGGATAAAACTTTGTTAACATATGGCACTTTGCCTTTTTAATACATTCTTCAACTTTGTAGAAGAGGTGGCACAGAAAAATTGCCTCATTAAGTATAATAATAATTCCATTTTTGCTCATATTTTCATTTAGAAAATGCTACATAATTTCAAAGAATTTGTGTATATGTTTTCTCAGTTGGACTTTAGAAAAACCCTGTGAAATTAACTGTTAATATTATTCTCTATTTAAAGATAAGAAAACTAAGATATGAAGAACACAAGTCACGTGCATAGTTAGTAAAATGCTAGTTAAGATTTTAACCCTAATCATTTTACTTCTGTCTAGTTGTTTATATAATTTACCAGTCTACTGAGATTAGCTCCCTAGTTGTTAATGCTAATAATAAAGTTGTTGCAATGCTTGGTTGTCAGCTGCTGTTAAGTCAGCTCTAATCCATGATGATTCCATTTATAACAGAACAGTATGGAAACTTATCCTTGTGCGCCATCTTCACAATCCTTGAAATGTTTACCAAACATGATGATGTTTTAGCAACTGATCTTTCCTACTGATATGTTTGAAGTGAACGAGTTAATAAACTCTGCCATCTTCCAAATATGTTTGTATTTCTTCACAAAGTGATTGTTTGTTTTCTTGGCAGCCCACGATATAGTCAGTATGTTTACCAGTTCCACAGTGTGAATGTATCACTGCTTCTTCTGTCTGTCTTTTTCGCGCTCCTACTTTGGCATGTCTCAGAGAAAACTGAAGAGAGAATAAATGTCTTGAATCAGACACATCTTAGTCATCAAAGTGACATTTTGGTTTATAAATCTTCAAAGTGCTCTTTTACAGCAGATTTTACCAATTCAATACCTGTAGATTGATTGATTTGTTTGACCGCTGCTGCCATGGGTGTTGATTGTGAATTGAAGTAGCTGGTCTACCTAAGTCTTTTTTTTAAACTTAAATTCAAACTACGTAATCAAATTGGCAAATGTTCTGGTCATGTATAACAATTAGAATAGTAAAATGCTTAAATGTCAATTTTATTTAAAAGTAGATCTTTTTTTTAAACTATGACTTTAGTGCCGTTGTCCACCCCCCACCCCCCCATTTACTTGATGTATTCTTAAATATATTAGGCTATAGAATCAAAAAATGCAGAAGGAATCTTTGATGCTAATCTTCATTTGAAAGCCCAAGTTGATCAACTTACTGGCAGGAATGAAGAATTAAGACAAGAACTCAGAGGAGCTCGAAAGGAAGCTATAAGTTATTCACAGGAGTTGGCTAAAGCAAATTTAAAGGTACGAATTTTACTAAATAAAATGATATGCATAGAAAAAAAATGATATGCATAGGAACTTACTTTAAAATGAAACTCTTTATTAGATGAATATTTTATGAAAATAGCCCTTGGATTAATTCTTTTAGCATTAAGAAACTATTTCAGATTTTTCTTTTGAAATTAAGTGAAAAATAAATGCCTTATGATATAGAAAGAAATAAAAAAATTCTAAATCTTTTACCTTGAAATTTCTTAGGAGAAATTAGGATATCATTTAATTCTTGGGGGGCATTCATATATGTATGCTTTTATAAATATTCAGTAGAAAGATAGCATGAAATATAAAGTACTATCTTTAAATGTGTTTTTTTTCTTGGTTGTATAAATGTAATTTCTTCTTCCCTGGATTGTGTGTTTCAGACAGACCATCTTGAAAAGGAGATTACTCTTTTAAGACAATCAGAAGGATCAAATGTCATTTTTAAAGCAGTAGACTTACCTGATGGGATAGCACCATCCAGTGCCAATATCATTAATTCTCAGAATGAATATTTAATACATCTCTTAAAGGTACTGAAAATTTGCATGTCAATAACGAAAACTGTTGATAAGTTTTATAACTTAATCCATTTTTTGAGCTCTTTGGATATTAAAGTGAAATATATTTTTAAGAATTTGTACTTGAAATACTGTGAACAAAACCAGTATACACTATTCATCTTCATGAGAGGCATGTTTATACATTTTGTTGGTAGTATGTCATGTGAAAGATAAAATTGATTGGTAAGATAACAGAAAGCTACTGTAAGGTTGTCCTTGTTATGTGCTGAGTAGATTCTGACAAAGAGCTAACCGACCCCGAAAAACAGCATAGAACTGACCGTTAGGGTTTTCTAGGCTAGAATTGCTACCAGAGCAGATTGCCTATCTTTTCTCCCGGTTCAAACCACCATCTTTCATCCAGCAGCCTGTGATGAACCAGGATCACCAGGGTTTTCCTTTGCTAGTGATGTGTAAGTAAGGTGAACACTTGTATTTATTGCTGATTGGAAAGCAGTTCAAGAGAATAAAGTGTGATAGCATTTTAGGGAAATGAATAGAATTGATCTTTTGTGTGTGTGCATTAACTACAAGAAAAAGCTTTGAAGCCAAATTTTCATTTATCATTCTATTTTTCTTTATAAATGTTAGTCTGACAACAAATTAGAAAGATTACTCTTGTACAATGTTGGTTTTTTATATTTGCCATTTACATCTTGCGATTACTCGACTTTTGTTGTTTTGTCGGTTGCATGAAAACTATAATATCACATACGAAGGGGTACCCCAAGGAAACTGGATGCGATGTGAGGGGGATAGTGCATTTGGAGTTTGTTCCACCAGCTCAGACTGTTAATCAAGTTTTCAATTTAGAGGTTCTGAGAAGATTGCTTAACTGTGTACAACAGAAAAGGCCAGATTTGTGACAGACAGGGTACTGATTTTGCAACCATGACAGTCCACCCACTCACACAGTCATCTCAGTGCACCAGTTTTGTCCCATGCACCTTACTCACCTGACCTCGCTCGTGTAATTTCTTTTTGTTTCTGCGAATGAAGAGGGACATGAAAGGACAGTGATTTGACAACATTGAAAGGTAAAGAAAAAGTCCAGGAAGGTGTTGTCAGCTATCCAAACAGATGGTTTGCAAAATGTTTCCAAGAATGGAATTGCAGATTTGGCAAATGTAGTAAGTGTAATGGAGAGTACTTTGAAATTAATAAGGTTGTTTTGTAAAAAACATTAAATACATATCTTTGGAAAAAAAATCTGTCTTTGTTTGGTGGGGTACCCCCTCGTGTACTACAAATATAATTGCAACAGGTGGTTAAAATCTGTGAAAGTATATTTTTATTCATAAAGATCACTATTGTCTTCTAGATGATTTATTGGTGAATATATTTGAGCTTTCACATACTCGTTTTAATATTTGGAAAGTACATGAATTATTTTTTTAGTCTTGGAATTTGTATGTTATCTAAGTCTGATAATGGTACAACTTTATCTTTTTACTATAATATGACTATGTAATTCATGTTATATTGTTATTTTAAAATGTATAATTTAAACGCTCCTTATGGCTTCTTTTATTTATTTATTTTTTTGTATTGTAAGGAGCTGTCAGTAACTAATGACAGTATAATATTGTCCTGATATTTGATATTATAAGTCTTGGGTTATTGCCCCCCCCCTTTATATAAAAAATATATGAGAAGAACAATAGTAGAATAGAGAATACTACATTGGAGGTCTAAACCTGTTCAAAGTGGCAAAGCAGATATTTAGACTCCCATTTATAATACACTGATGGGAATAGCAAACCTGAACACAAATGCTGAATGTATATGCATATAATGCGCGTATCACTGAGCTTGGCAATTTAAGCTAGGTAAATGTTTGCCAAGTCTATTATTACCAATGAGTTTTTTAATGTTGAGTCAATTATTTAATCATCTAATACTCATTTTCTTCATTGTTAAAATGAACCACATAAAAGAGGTAATGTAAGGTATAAAAGAGTGTGTACACAAAGGAGTATGTGGGGCCGGGTGACCACAGATGACTTTGTAAGAATACGTTGGAACTTGTATAGGAAGGGCTTGGGACTCATTTTAAACGAATGCACTTTATCGTTTAGTAAATCCTAACTCGGAAGAGAAACAGCCTTTAGTAACATGGTATATGAAGGATTCCTGGTCACACAGCTGTCAAGTGTTAGGCTGCTCAGTACAAAGTCAGCAGTTCAAAACCACCAACTGCTCCTCAGGTGAAAGATAGTTGTTGTTGTTAGGTGCCATCTGATTGGCACCAGCCCATGCACAACAGAACAAACTGCTGTATGTTTCTGCGCCCTCCTCACAATTGTTTCTATGCCTGTGAGCCCATTGATGCAGCCAAGATGTCAGTCCATTTCCTTGAGCGCCTTCCTCTTTTTCTCACACTTCCACTTTACCAAACGTGTCCTTCTCCAGGGACGGGACTCTCTTGACAATATGTCTAAAGTGTGTAAGATGATGCTTTGCCATCCTTGCCTTCAAGGAGCTCTCTGGCTTTACTTCTTCCAGTACAGATCGGCTTATCCTTTTAGCAGTCCACAGTACTTCTCCATTAACATAATTCAAATGCGTAAATTCTTCGAAGGTTTTCTTTATTCATTGTCCAACTTTCCCATGAGTATGATGCAATGGAGAATACCATGGTGTGGGACAGGCACACCTTAGTCCTCAAAGTAACATCCTTGCTCTTCTATATTCTAAAGAGGACTCGGGCAGCAGGTTTAACTAATGCAACACATTTTTTTTTTTTTTGATATCTTGACCGCTGTTTCCATGAGCACTGATTGTGGATCCAAGTAAAACTAAATCCTTGACAATTTTAACATTTTCTCCATTTATCATGATGTTACCTGTTGGTCCCATTGGGAGGATTTTGGTTTTCCTTACAGTGAGTTATAATCCATACTAAAAGCTACAATTGTTGATCTTCATAACCAGTTTTTAAATTCCTCCTCAATTTCAGCAAGCAAGGTTACATTATCTGCATACCACAGGTTGTTTAAAAGCCTTCCTTCAATCCTGATTCCACGTGTTTCTTCACATAACCCAGCTTCTCTGATGACTTGCTCAGCATACAGCTAGAACAAGTATGATGAGAGGATACCACCATGACGCACACTTCTCTTGATTCTAAATCATGCAGTATTCCTTTTTTTTTTATTCGCACAACTGCCTCTTGATTCATGTACAAGTTCTGAATGAGCACAATGAAGTGTTTCAGAGTTCTCATTCTTAAGGTTATCCACGACTTATTATGGTCCACAGTCAAATGCCTTTGCATAGTCAATGAAGCACAAGCAAACTTCTTTCTGGTAGTCTATGCTTTGAGCTATGATCCATCTGAACTCAGCAATGATATCTCGGTTATGCTTCCTCTTCTGTATCCGGCCTGAACTGGCAGGTCCCTGTCTATATACTGCTGCAACCTTCGTTGGGTGTTCTTAAGCAAAATTTTACTTTTGTGGGATGTCAATGATATTGTTCTATAGTTGAGCATTCTGTCGAGTAACCTTATTTTGGAATGAGCACGAATATAGATCACTTCCAGTCAGTTGGCCAAATAGCTGTCTTCCAAATTTGCTGGCATAGACGAGTGCTTCATCAGCTTGCTGAAATAATTCAATGGGTTTTCTATCAATTCCTGGAGTCTTGTTTTTGGCGAATGCATTTAGTGCAGTTTGAACGTCTTTCTTCAGCACCATTGCTACCTTCCTTCATGTGCTACCTCCTGAAATGGTGGCATGTCCACCAATTCTTTATGGTACAGTGACTCTGTATTCCTTCCATCATCTCTTGATGCTTCCTGCAGCGTTCAATATTTTGCATATAGAATCTTTCAAAATTTCAATTTGAGACAAGTTTTTTTTCTTTCAGTTTCAGATATGTTCTTGTCTTTTGGTTTTCTAATTTTAGGTCCTTGCACATTTTATTGTAATATTTGACTTTGTCTTCTTGAGTTGCCATTTGAAAATTTCTATTCAGCATTTTGACTCCATCTTTTGTGCCATTTGCTGTAGCTACTCTACGATTACAAGTAAGTTTCAGCGTTTCTTCTGACTTGATCTTCTCTTTCTTGTCTTGTTAATGACCTAGTGCTTTCTTCATGAGTGATGGTCTTGCTCTCCTGCCACAGTTCTCAGAGCGTCTGTCAGTAGTGTTCCATGTGTCAGATCTGTTCTTAAGATTTTTTTATGTTCAGGTGAGATAGTCTCCAGGTCATAATTTGGTTCCTGTGGCCATGTTTTAATTTTCCTCTTCTTTATCCTGCTCTTTCATGTGCACATTCGATGGTCTGGTCCACAGTTGGCCCCTGGTCTGGTTTTGGCTGCTGATATTGAGCTTTTCCATCTTGTTATCACAGATGTAGGCAATTTGATTTCTGTGTGTTCTATCTGGGAAAGTCCATGTGTGTATAGTTACCTTTTGTCTTGCTGAAGAAAGGTCTTTCCTATGAACAGGTAATTGGTTTTCAAAACTCTATCCCACAATCTCCCCCCTTCATCTTTTATCACCACGTCCATATTTTCCACCTGCTATTCCTTCCACCATGTCTCCAACTTGTGCATTCCAATCACTCTCAATTATCAGTTTATCTTGATTGCATGTTCAGTCAGTGTGTAACTGAATTCGTTGGTAGAATTCTTCATTTCTTCCTCACTAGCTTTTGTGGTTGGTTCATAAAGTGAGAGATCCTTGAAGACGGATAGATGTCATCCGATCACAGCAGTGTACTTCATGATGCCTTTAAGCAGGATCCTTTCTGACAGTGAATGCCATGCCATTCCTCTAGATCAGCGGTTTTCAACCTGTGGGTCGCAACCCCTTTGGGGGTCGCACAACCTTTTCAAAGGGATCATGACCCTTTCACAGGGGTCGCCGGATTCATAACAGAAGCAAAATTACAGTTATGAAGCAGCAACAAAAATAATGTTATGGTGGGGGGGTCAGCACAACATGAGGAACTGTATTAAAGGGTCTCAGCATTAGGAAGTTTGAGAACCACTGCTCTAGATTGTGGTATTCCAGGCATAGTAAACCATGTGATTTTCTGATTCAACATGGCACTACCTATCCGTTTCAGCTCACTAATGCCTAGGATATTGAACTTCATTCAGTTTCATTTTTGAGCACTTCCAGTTTTCCTACATTCATACTTTGCACATTCCAAGTCCCAAGCATTAGAAACTTTTTGCACCTGTTTCTCTTTACCTTGAATCGTGTCTCATCAGCCAATGACGATCCCAATGGCTCCACCACCATAGGCGTCATCTGACTCACTTCACTGAGGTCGACTCTCCACGAAACCAGCTCCTCTTCAGTCAGAATTTGGTAGCCCTCTGGCCTGAGAACCCCCTCTGCAGACAGTATCTCTGACAATGTTCTTCTTCCTATGTTGAGGCTGCAACGTTTGAGAAGGTTTGGAAGTTATGCGCAAGGCTTTCAGTGCTTCTTTCTCTGAAGTAGACACCCAAGTCCTTCTTTGTTGTCTGAGCTTAGTCTAGAAACTTCGCTGAAACCTCTTCACTTTGGGTGACCCTGCTGGCATTAGAAATATCAGTGATACAGCTTGCAGCATCGCACAACACGTAAGTCACCACAATATGACAAACTGGCAGATACATGGTGGCCACAAAGAGTTTCTAAGATTATAACTGTTCAGAGTTACTGTCGTGGAAACCCATATAGGAAAGTTCTTCCTTGTGCTGTAGGGTTGTATGTGTTGGCTTTGACTATAAATTTGATTTGGTTTATGTTATACATAGATACAAATGGTAGAGTAGATCCATACTACTATTACAGCTGAAGATCTATCCTTAAAGATCCTCTACCAATTCTCCCCACTGCTACTAGTGTCTAGCACATTAGACTACTAGAGATTGAGCAAGCATTGGATTATCTGTCTAGTGTTTTATGAGGAAGCCCTGGTAGCTGAGTAGTCCTATCGTCAGCTGCTGCTAGCCCCAAATCCAGCAATTGGAATCAGATGCTCCTCAGGAGAAAAATGTGGCAGTCTCCTTGTGTAAAGATGGCAGTCCTGGAAACTATCAGGTAGTTCTACTCCATTCTGTTGGACACGATGAATGGGAATTGACTCAATGAATATTTTTGAGTATTTTAAAAATTGAAGAAATTTTGTATTAAAGTCAAAAAGTGAATACCAAAAAGGGGAGAGTATAAATGAGCCTGGAAAAATAGAACTGACCGATTGGACACATGAAAGGTGAGGGAAAGAAAAGAATGTTTTCTAGTTATCAAATTGAATACTTGACACTGGTATAACTAAAAGTACAAAATGTAGAGGAAGTGAATTGTTTAGTGTTGAAGAAAGCTAATTTGGTTTGAGATATGCTAAATTCAATATGTTTGTGAAAAATCTACACAGAGAGGTCGTATTAGAAATGTGGGTTTGAGGGTCAATATTGACTAATGCTAGTGACCTAACACTTGAGAAGTAGTGAAAAAAGTCAATTGTTTCTAGTGCTTTTCTGGAAAATGTCTATGATAATAAAACCTTGTTCATTTTTTCTTTCCTTCTGCCTGTGGAATCCCAGTTTTGTCTATCTCTTCTTTTCCTTGTTCTCCTTTTTCCCTACTTTCCTCATTCTCATTTCTTTACTCTTATAATTTTTTCCAAAAATTGCATGCTTAAGAAAATTGCATGCTTTATTTTACCTCACAAAAGCTTATATTTTTAGTAACTATCATCGGAAAATGCGTATGCTTGTGGTTGTTATGATATATGATGGAAATATTTTGCTTATTATATGTAGGTACATAAAAAAGCATTTCTACAAAATCAAAGAACCCATTGTTAAACAAAAATATCAATGTGGAGCTAAAAGATATTGTTTCTAGACACACCTGCCATGGAGGTCTATACATTTCAGAAGGCAGTCTTACCATCTTCGTAACCTTCCCCTGATGAATTGTATCCTCTATGACTTGCTTCCCTCCAATGGACAATTTTTGCATCCTTGTGGGATTCAAATTATGTTCCTTTTCACTGTTGTTTGAGCTTGATGTGGTAAGATGAGCTTGATACAGCAAGGTCTTGCCCTTGCTGTACTTGTAGTCTGAGCAGTTGCATTGTCGTGATGGGAAAAGAATCTCTCAGGACAATTTTCTTGGCCTTTTTCTCAGGAATGTAGTTTTTAATGAAAAATAAACAAACAAACTTTGTAGTAAACCCCTGTGATCATCCTGTGTTAATCAAGAAAATTTATCAATATTATACCATTGGAATACCAATTAATTAATTGCCTCATGCTTCTGAGCTGACCTCTCTGCCTTGTATTTAATTTGCCTTTTGGATCTCTTAGGAAGCCACTGTTTTCATTGGAATTTGGTTTGAAAGACCCTAATGGGTCTAAGACACATGAGAACAAGTCAACCGCCATGTAATGATAGCAGAAACAAGCTTTATTTGTATACATAAAATGGAACCTTTGTAGCAATACTTGGTGACACCCTTATATATTTTCAAATTTAAATATAAATTTTGATTTCTTAAAATAGTTTTATTGCATTTTCATTTTTAGGAAATAGAAAATAAAGAAAAGAAGTTAAGTAATTTAGAAGATTCTCTTGAAGAATATAATAGAAAATTTGCAGTAATTCGTCACCAGCAAAGCTTATTATACAAAGAATATCTAAGGTACAATATTAGCAAAACTTTGTACATATAACTATACATATTCTTATTTATACTTGAAGTAATTTTTCCCTCTTCTTCCTCTACCTCTCCCCTCCTCTCTTTTTTTTTAAACTGGTGACTTGGTAAGGGCAGATTTTTAGATAAGACAGTATTATAGTTTAATCATTACAAGCCTGCCATGCATTCTCTGAAATTGTTATGCGTAGGCTTTAACTCAAACATTGCCATTTGATAGCCATGAGATGATGGACAAGCTATTTTAGCTATCAGTTCCTGATTTTTCTATCTGTAAATTTCCATGCTGAGAATACTTTATTCATAAAGTAGTTATGAAGCTTAAGTCAATTATTACATGAAAATGTTTTCCTTAGTACATGACTTGTCATGACCTCCTTGTAAATGTCAGCTACAATTGGTTGCATCATCTGTCATCATTATTTACATATTGGCACAGGGAATTAATATACTTCTAATATTTTTCATCCTTTGATTTAAAAAATCAGCTAAATCAATAGAATCATTTCTTTTGTATTTATTAGAGTACCTGACCACACATTATTTAAACACTAACAGTGATTAGTGTATGATTTTCAAGAAGCCCAAAGCTAATACATTTTCTAAATTAAATGGTAGCTCATAGTTTGTTGTTTTCTGGTTGCCAATAGTCAACCCTAACTGATAATGACTGCATGTGTATCAGAATAAGGGTTGTCATTATCTCCTACAATGGTTATAAACTAGCTACTAGAGGTCAGGGTACAATGACGTGTGCTCATTTAAAAAAAGGGACATTTTCCCCCCTCTTATCTTTGTGTGTGTGTGTGTGTGTGTG